CAGATGAGTAATCAATAAGCTTAGTTGAATCCACGAGAATATTGGATTTAATAGAGTATTCAATGAGGGGCTAAAAACCTAAATAATCGGAACAAGGATGTCGAATAGAGCCAAAGAGATGCGTCTGCAAGCACAAATAGTGGGTTATGAATGAAACTGGTGTAGGGTGTTATGTATTTTTTTTATCTCAAGAAACCCTCCCATCTTCTCTCAATAAAAACCACAAGCATTATCGGAACTTCCAGAGAAACACCTCCGATCAATTCCAATATGGGACTAAGCTCGCTCAAAAGGCCTTCCCAGCACCACCCTTCCGTTGTATTCAAGAAACCCTCCTACGCCAGCTGACAAAAAGCATTAGATTGGAAGCCTTACTTGTCACCGATGATGAAAGCTCAATGAATTCCCGAACTAATCAAATATTGAACTCTTCTACATTGAATCTTGAAACCTTAAAACCCCATCGACCAACACGTTAGATTTTGAAGGTTGGTTTTGATTTTGGTACTTGCAGGTTGTTTTCTTGAAGACGAAATTGTCGATTTTGCTGATGGTTTGTTAAATGCTTTTACAGGTGCTTTTAATACCTACCCATGGATTGTGCAAGTGATCGAAAAGAGAGTGGTTTCCGATAACAATATGGGTTAAAGGTCTCCAGTGTGGGTGTCAAGGAAAATGGGAAGATAAATGGGTTACTCTAAGGGGCATAATTGTCCATTAACTTTAGAAGTATGTGGATGAATCAAAAAGCAATGTGAAATTATCAACTCCAATTGAGAAAATAAAACAAAAAATATGGTTTATTGACGGTCAGAAGTATATAATCTAAGTTTAAAGAAAAGGGAAAAAAATTAGTCAAATATCATCAAAAGTTACAACAGATTACCTTTATTTCTCACTCCTTTCTAATAAATGAATAATTTTTTTTAGCACTTGTCACTTTCTCAAATCTTTTGACACATATCATTATATGAGACTGGTTTATAACCTATTGGAACCACGATTATAAAATTAATTGAATTTTTATAGTAAAAACTCAAAATTATTAATGAGTTATATTAAATAAATTATTAATTTAATAGATATTTTATTAGTTATGTGAAATTATAATCGTTGATTCAAATAAATATGTAAAATTAAATTTTAATATATATTAGATAATTTTTATTTGTGAATTAATGAAAACAATAATATAAATTTTAAATTTTAAAATAGAGAATAAATACATTGACAATTAGTATCACATTAATGAGGAGGTCTAATAAATTTAAAATAGATAACTAATAGATTGACAAGTGACAACACATTAATTATGAGGTCTAATATGATGACATATGACAAAAGAACTATTCTTTTATTAGTACAGGATTGGAACCACGGTTATAAATTTTTATAGTAAAAACTCAAAATTATTAATCAGTTATTTTAAATATATTATTAATTTAAGAGATATTTTATTAGTTATGTGAAATTATAATCGATGATTCAAATAAATATGTAAAATTAAATTGTAATATATATTAGATAATTTTTATTTGTGAATCAATGAAAACAATAATATAAAATTTAAATTTTAAAATAGAGAATAAATACATTGATAAATAGCATCATATTAATGAGGATGTCTAATAAATTTAAAATGGATAACTAATAGATTGACAAGTGACAACACACTAATTATGAGGTCTAATATGATGACACATGACAAAAGAACTATTCTTTTATTAGTATAGGATGAGAAGATTTTGCAATTATTTAAATTCCACATGTCATTATGTGGTATCTTTATTTTTTATAGTTATCAATAATTAATAATCAATTCCACTAATTAATAAGTCTACTATAATATATGTAAAATATTCATTCTATTTAAATGTTTATTAATTTACAAATATATTTAAATTCAAATGGATGTTCTAATGACACAATTAATGTCGTGTATTAGTTGATATATTTGAATTCAAAACATACCTTTAAGTTTTTGGACTTTTAATTTGAATTCTAACAAATTATTATTTATTCAAATTTTATAAATAAATATGTATCTATAATACATCTTTATCTTTATTCTAATAAATGAAAAAGAACACTATCTTCAAAGAAGTATTTGAAAATTTTGATTCATAACTATTTATAATATGTCAATATTTTTTTTTTATTAATATAGATTTAATAACCAATGTTCTAAAAAGCTCGTCATGACTCCAAGGCTTGTATGTGCCGCCAAACTTCACCAAAATGTCGTCTTTACTCATATATGTGTATAAAAATAAATAATAGTTGAAAATACATATAAAAATATGAATTATATACAAAACTGCCACCTTAAGTCACGCCTTACAAACGACGTGACTCACGAAAACTCGAAAAAACTTAAGGTTTGACATTACCGCCAAGTCACGCCTTACGTTATTTAGAACCTTGTCAATAACTAATTATTTATTATTTCATTTGTATTTATTTTGAAAGTTAATTTAAAAAATATTTAATGTTTACACTTTAATTTTCAATATCAGAATTAAACTTTTCTTTTTAATAAACTTGTATAGTATATTAGATATGGATAATCATGTATATTCCAAGTAGATTAGTGGGTGTGGGCAACTAGTTAAAGAGTGGTATCACACCAAAAAATAGTCACATCACATATCATGTCATTTTGGTGACATCTTTAACTTTTCATCTCATCATTTCTTTTTTAATTTTTTTTTTATTTTTCAATTTAATTTGTTTTTTATTGTTTTTTTTTTCATTATAGTTTTTTTAATCACATTGGATTAATAATAAAAAAAAATAAAAATAAAATAAATAAAAAATAACATGCAATTTAAATAACTCCTAGATTAACCATAACATTAAAATTAAAAAAATACATTACACCAAAAAAAAAAAAAAAAAAAAAAAAAAAAAAAAACGATGATGAAAAAAACAAGCATCCTAAAGAACTAAAACCGATCAACTAGTCATACAAATATTGTTTTTCAATTTTCTCTTTCATCTTCCGAAGCACTAGCGCTTCTCGTGGTCGCATATTTGCTTCGTTGGTCTGGAGAATGGCTAAATCATTCGCCATCTGATATTTCTCAACTTGCTTACGAAAAAACTCCAAGTGCTCACGTTGCACATCAACCTTCTGTTAGACAATCAGATTGTGTTTTTCGAACTTTACTTTCTTTCAGCAAACTCTTGTTCCCTTCTATTAATTTCGTCCACGTGACGTTGAGCACGTTTTGCTTTGTCTCGTCCGACCGGTCGACCGGGGGGGGGGGGAGATCTCTTCGATGTCGTCGGGAATATCATTAGTGTCTGTATTAAAGTCGATGTTTGTTCGCGCGTCGGAAACGTCAAACAAACTAGAATTGCGGGACCTCTTTGATTGTTCCTCCCCCGATGTCAGCGTATTATTCCATTTTGGATCTAGCCTAACAATCTCCCATATTTTTTCAAACTCAAAAGCATGGCACATTTCCACTTGATATTGTTCCCTCGCGGCTTTGTAAACATCAAAATCATTCGCATCACTTTGCCTTTGCGATTCTAATCTCATGAAAATACCATTAAACTTGGTGCACCGTCGACTGATCGTAGTCCATTTGCAGCTAAGCATGTCAATATTCCAATACGGCTGTTTCTTCATAAGTGTGTGGAATTTGCCGAGCACAACTTCCCAAAACCCAACTCTTTGCATATCATTCCATATGGTTGGTTTCTTTGAAGTCCTGCACCACGTCATCGCCAAAGCATACTCCTCGTTCGTTGTCCACCATAGTGAAGGTTCTTCTTCCGTATCCCTGACTGTCTTCCTTTTCCGTTTCCGTTTCCCTTTTCCTTTCCCTTTCCCTTTTCCCACTGCCTCCTGTTTGTGTTTCAGGAACACTTTCTGGTGGTGGTTGTGTGACTGTTTGTTGCATGGAACTGAAAGCATTAAAAATGTTTTGTTGAAGATTTTGGTTTTGCTGCATATAAGGGGGTGTAGGAAATTGCATTGGGGATGTAGCAAATTGCATTGGGGGAGAGTTTGAGGTGAGAAGGTTCATATAACTTCCGTATTGCGCGAAACCCATTGGGATGGATGTGTTTGTGTTTGGTGGCGGGGTGTTCGGGTTTTGCTCCATAGTTGGTTTAAAGGAAAGTTGTTTTTGTTTTTGTTTTTTTGTTTTTTTTTTGTTTTTTGTTTTTTTTGTTTTTTTTGTTTTTTGTTTTTTGTTTTTTGTTTTTGTTTTTTTTTTTTTGTTTTTTTTCTTTTTTTTGTGAATAAAATGAAGATGAAGATGAAAAAAGGTTGTAAAAAGTATTATGTTAGTGTATGTATTTATAGGTCAAATGAAAATGTTAATTTTTTTTTTTTTAAACTTCAATGGTCAAAAAGTCGACCATTGAACGCGTTATGGAACGTTGAGACAGCAACGAAGGGCAACAAATTTCCTCATAACGCCGGATAAAGAATAGGGGAGCGGTGTTCCGCATTATAACGCCGTTGAGGCGCGTTCCACGTCATAAAAGCAGACGTGGGCGTTGCCCACACCGTTCAGTCTTAGACAATAACATACTACAACAATCTCATGTTACACATAGATATCATTAGTAGGGAAAATGACTTAAAAACCCAACTAAGTTTTCAAACCATTCAAAAAACCCCGATCATTTTTTGTCTGTTCATAAAACCCAACGAACTTAACATTTTCTCTAACATATCTAACAAAGTTCCAAATCGTTCAAAAAATCACAACTTTGTTTTGATTAAGTTCGTTGGGTTTTATTCGAACAATTAAAACATGATTGAAGTTTTTTACACATCTTGGAAACTTCGTTGGTCTAACAAGTCATTTTCCCGATACGGTAATAAGTCACGTCATTTGTTTTTCTTAATTGACTTTCAGAAAAGTATAACTTAGGCTTTTTAAACAAAATGTTATGTTTGTTATGTTTTTTTTGAACAGATAAAACATAATTTTGATTTTTTGAACGGTTTGGAAACTTCGTTGGACTCGTAAGTAACAAATAAATTGAAACCAAATTTAAAAATTTACTAATAATTTGTCTAAAATAGGTAACAAATTTGATTAGAAAAATATAAAATTGGTTACCAAACTCATTTTCCGTTTTGATTGCATACAACCAATTTTCTGATTCAATGATTCAAGTAATTTGAAAAATCATTAGAATTTCTAAAAGAACACACAAATTCAGTAACATCGTGACCCTGATCTAACTATTTCTAACAAACACCAAAAAGCTTATCAACTACCCAGCCTGCATCTTCTTTCTCATCTCCATAATCTTCCTGTGAGAATTGGAATGCAGCCCAGTTGAGAAAGTTGGACTGCTGGCCGGCCGGTACTCCGCCACCAGCCGCCCTGACTTATACCGGACACCACATGCATTGCACAGAGTCTTTGGCCCCATCGGACCCGCCCGCCATTGTGGGGTTTTATCAGCAAAGCAATGTTGGCACCTCCTACCAAGTCCACCAGAACCACCGTCGGTCGCCGGTAGTTTGGTCATCGAGAATGGCGGCTGTATTACTTGATTCCACCACCAGCATTCCCGACCTCGGCGCCGACGATTGGAGCGCTTACGAACCGGAACATGAAGACTGACGCTATGGCTACCGCTACTACTACTGTTTTCAAGAACCGATACAGGGATTTGATGATCAACGGAGATGGTGTCAAAGCATGTATCTACGGCAGGAAATGCATCTTTGTTTGATAGCCATTCCAGTTCTTCCTCTGCAAATACCTAAATGGGAAGGAGATACGACTCAATCAAAAACTTTAAATGGTTCCATGTTTTACGAGATTTCCTAATTCGGGTTGCCCCGAATAACAACCGGAAAATCAAAATCGAATTGGGTAATGGCGTAAAAGTAGAAATATTACATAAATGTTAGGATTGGGGTGAACTTACTGGTAACGAACGGCTGTAATCGTCGGAGTTTTGACTGTTAGCATATGAAAAATCCATGGAAGAAGACGGAGGTCTGCTATCATCGTCGAAAGAGAAGTTGAGAAGATCATCGTCGATTATGAAACCTGAATTTGGGTTCAAAGCCATTTGTAGTGAAAGAAGGAAGAAGAAGAAGAAAAGAAGAAGAAGGGGTGAAGCAGGAGGTGTGACGTGCGTATTTTACGGATATACGGATGAATGGCAAGGAAAGGATGTCTGATTGCCTGCTGATTTGACCTTATTCTTATTTTTTATTTTCGCCCCTTTAAGAAATTAACTTCTCTATATCTCCATCAATCCTAAAAATGCTTTTCTTTTTAGTCTGAAAAAAAAAAAAAACACATGTAATATTGCTCCTAGAAATTACAGTGTAATTCGTTTTTAGAATAATAATAATAATAAATAAATAAAAAAAAAAAAAAAAAAGACACTCGCCACATGATCATAAAATAATCATTTAACTTTGCAAATTTGTTTTGATTTGTTAACTTGTTTTGCGGTTAGTTTAAGAATATCCATATTAAGAGATTTTTAATGTTTTTTTAAAATTTTATATTTTTTTTAACCGACAAATCTAATCTAAGCTAACAATACATATTCTACTTATGTTCACGATGAGACTTGAACCTTTGATTTCAAAGAGGAAGGATATCACCCAATACAGCTGGATTACAAACCTTTGGTTAGTGTTTTTTTAACTTAAAAGAAAAAATCCATTGTATGTTCTATAACAAGATAGTTTATTTTCAATTTATTTTTTTTATTGGATGTTTGTATATTTTATTTGATTACTACTGGTTGAAAAAAATAAGACTTCCAAATAATCATTTGAAAAAGCTAATGGAAAATTTTGTTAATTAACAATCAATTCGAAAAACTTTTTTTTAGGAATGTTTTTTAATTACTTTTTTAATTTTCATGAATTTTTCATTGTAAAAAAAAGTATTAAAAGATTTATAAAAAGACGGTCAAATTACCGACGCTACTACATAAATATGACTTCTAGTCGATAAGTTTAAACATCTAAACATTTATGACCACCGGAATAGTCTTTTCCTATTTGGACGACAAACAAATATAAATAAATAAAAAGAGCAAGTGGGGAGCTGAACAAAGATACAATAAGTTTGAGATGCACATCAATGACTCAAAACATGCAGAATCATTAAATTGCAAAAGAGAGAAGATCAGTTTGAGAGCTAACTAGTGTAGCAGGTATTCAAATCTTCAACCATCAAATAATAGCATTGAAATCTTAAAGCCTCATCAAAAGTACCAATCAAATAATAACCAATACCACCAGTTTGCCCATCAATACTTTTAAAAGCCAATATGAGGATATGACACCATCAACCATTAAAACCGACCAAGGGCATAATGGTCAAATTCCTGATTTTCTACTTAAGAAAGCACAAGAACTTCCAGGAAATTCATTAGAATTGTACAAAATACAATCATCAAGGGGCAGATAAGTCAAGTTTTCAAAGAAATGTACCAACAACCATTTAAAATACAAGACTGCCGAGGGGAAAATGTCATTAAACCATCTTTGCCAAAAAACTGAAGGCAACGACAACACCACCAAAGAAGAGAAAATACACCATCAGAGTAAAGGGAAAAAGGTCACAAAGTCCAAAATAACATCAGACTTTAAACTTCCATATTAGAGAGATAAATATAACCGAGGGCAAAATTCGCCAACAAAAAAACAGCATCAATCCTTTAAACCCATCGATGAGAGCAAGTCTGAGGGGCGATGGCAAAGTCTGATTGCATGAAATAGGCATGTCTCCTCGTTTCCTGAATTGGCATGTCTCCTCGTCTTCTCATGTTTTAAATCGGCGTTTGCGACTGACCTAGCATATTAGTTTTCTTTTGCCTATGTGGTGATGCCTTACTACCCTTGGACTTGGTGTGGATCAAAATTTGGACCGAAATAATAAGAACCCATCATAAGTAGACCAGAACTGATGCCCCTAATATGGTGCTGCCCTGGGCTGCGGCCCAGCTCGCCCAGCCCTTGGGCCGGCCCTATAAACAGCATATCATAAAGTAATCTTGCAAAAGCAAATCTTCTTTAAAAAATTTACTATATTATGAACTGTATTAAACGTACGGAACATATAAAATATATAAAATTATAAAAAATTGACACAATAAAAAAATTAATATTATAAAACAAAATAAAACATGACTTGATGATTAAATCTATAAATTAAAAAAAAAAAAAAAATTCAATCATAAATTAATATAAAATAGTAAATATCTTTATGAGAAAAAACAATGGTTTTCGAATGCAATTTAAAATATATACAATCATATATTTTTATTTGGTATAGTCATTATCTTAAAATTTGAACAAAATGAAAATCATTTATGAGAACGGTATGTCGGAATAACATGCTCAATCGTATTTCATTTAAAAAATAAATGAGATTATTTCGATAATCTCATCATTCATTTACACCGACATTATAATTATTAAAATATACTGTAACCCACACCCACAAACAATTATGAATCATAACCCAATCACCCATATATTATACCTATCAATAAAATCGTTTCCAAATTTCAAAAGCTATCTATATAGATTATATATTATTTACTATTAAATCAACCTAAAAATATGTAAATTATATATTCAATTTAAACAGTACTATTACATCAATATAAAAGTATAAATTATATATTAAATTTTTGTTTATCCATTTTTACACAAAAAGTCATGTTTTTTAAATATTCAATTTTTGTTTCTCTTTTTAACAATGATCCGTGAAAATTCTATACATGATTATAATCAGTTTTAGCGCATTACATTAGAAAAGATTCTAACTTTATTCCTTTCCATAAAAAAGTAAATAAAGATATTAAAAAAAACTCAGCCAAGAATAAGAGCCTGCCCAAACCTAAATATTTTGGACTTTTTCAACGACTTTTTCATATTTTGGAGACAAAATGGTGTAGTGGGAAGTTATCTGGATTTAAAATGGTAAACTGTACATCAATATAATTAAAAAGAAAGGATAACAATGTATTTATGATTCGGTATAACAATATGTCTGATGATTACATGCTATAACAGTCAACTTTATAAGAAAATTTGATTAAAGAAATAAGATACAAACTAATGTAAATGCATTATCACAGAAAAATAGGATGAAATTACAGAAAAAAGTAAAATTACAACAAAAAGAATAACATATATCTTTAAAATCTAAAAAAAGTTTGATAAACAATGATACATTTACAGTGATTATAGTAAATAATAAAAAAAAAAAGTAGTAACAGTTTTTATACGAAAACGGTTAGAGAATGCTATTACATAAATAAATTAGAACGATATTGATAATCTAAATGGTTAAAAATAAAATAGAAAATAACCAAAAACTAAAGTAACTATTTTCAGATCTAAAAGGAGAAGCACGTGATGATGAAGTATCAAACTTTTAACATTCAAAATGTAAAATCAAGCCATCCAACAGAAAGATCAATATTCCAATGTTAATTAACCAAATACTATCCCATTATCACAAAAAAAGTAGGATGATATTATTGGGAAAACTCATTTTTGTGACCAGGAAGTCGGTGGCATTTCCCGCCAAGCACTTTGATGGTACCTTTCCATCAAATCTAGTTGCATTTCATAGGGCCAGAAGTCCTCATAACACTTTTGTAGCTAAGCAATCATGATAGCTATCATAATACATGATACATTTGTCGCATCCCTCTCATGAACACGGTACTCCTCAATTTCCTTAGGAGTAGCAGTTTGTTCATCAATTTCCTTCAGCTATTTATCTAGGATATATTCTTTGTCCTCATATCAAAGGGTCATGCGAATGTTTCTGATCCAATCATTAAAGTTTGACCCATTGAAGATAGTTCTCCTTACCAAGTTCATTAGGAAGAAAGAGCCTAAAGGTTTGGAGCCTGAAACATTGTTTGGGATAGAAATTTGTAAAAGAAAAGGAACAAAGTTTAGATTATACGAGAATCCTTAATATAACACCCAAAATGAAATATTAAGGCTAAGACCCAACACAATATTCTACAATTGCGAAGAGGGATGTCGTAATCCAATTGTAAAATATTTGAAGGTAGGTATTTACCAATTTCCACCATGAAAAGTGAAATTGCTTATTTGGTTTTAATTGAATTCGAAATTCCTAGACCCTTTAAGATTCATTGAACTTTTCAATGACATGTTTAAATCTCGATTGTTCCCTTCAAGTTTGTGATTGGGAGATCGAGGATCATAAACAAAGTGTGAATAATCATGCAAATATACTAGGTACTCTTAATGTTACAAATCACCTAATCAATGTGCCGGTTAACCACACACGTTCCATTGATCTATGATTAAAATTAAGCTACCCTTTGTCACTCTTATTAGTCCTAAATTAGTGTGTCGGTTAACCTCACACGCTCCACTAACGACTTAATAAAGTGCAAAGTGTAATTTCATGGATTAGCATCTATTTCACATTTTTCCTAAAGTAACTAAGTTAGGGAATTTAATAAAATATTTAGTTACTTTATATTTCATTATACTTTTAACGAGAATTAATGTCCTATCCTACCCGTTTGATTAATGATCCTCCACCAGAAAAGGAAGTGATGGGTGAGAATGTATACCCATTAAACTATCATTATTAGGCAGTAACCTTATACCCCCCCCCCCCCCCCCCTCTTATAGACCGACTTCGTGAATGATGCCTACTAGCGGTAAGAATGACTTTTCTTATATATATATATATATATATATATATATATATATATATATATATATATATATATATATATATATAAGTGTGACAACCCAAAGTTTATTCTGTCACATTACCCTGTTACCATTAACGGAATATTCCGCGTTATAAAAGTTCCATTAATTTGAGGTCGTAAAATAAATAAATGTTTTATTTATTTATATTCCATGTCGTTATTCGTTGTAATAAGATAAGATAAAATCTCGTAATTTACATTTCCATATTAATTTGGAAAAAGTTAATTTTATTACGACCACTAGATCGGGTGCGACCAAAAGCCCCGTTTAACGGCAGTATCGTGTGGATTCCTACTGAGCCTCAACTCAAGCCACTATATAAGGGGGATGGACTTCATTCCACCCTTTTCACTCTCTCTCTCTATACTCTCTCTCATAAAGCCCGTTTTCGACTCAAAACCGCAAATTTCCGCCTCCAAAACGTAAGTCTCTTCACCCTAACCTATTCTAAACATCATGACTTGTGACTATACCCCAAAAATCGGACTTGGAAGCTGTTGAAAAGGATTTTACGGCCTAAGAGCCTCCGTAGGCTGTAAACCCCTAATAAGAGGCCAAAATGACCCAAATTTGTCCGTAAAAGCTTGGAAACTAATTGGGGATTTAGCCTAGGAGTGTTTGCACCTTAAAACAATCAA